AGTGCAGCACGAAGGTCCTTCAGTGACATCTATTTGGAGCAAGCTCGATCATAGACGAGAGTTGAGACTCACCGAATCGGCAGATTTCGGGGCGCATTTCGCGTTGATGTCAACCACAACATCAGAAGTTTCCGGCAAACTGGTGGGACCAAATGCCCCTACTAAGAAAATTGCGTCCGAATGCTTCATACGCTCAACAGTACCATGATCCCATTCGCATCCTGAATGCTCGATCTTCGACGGAGGCGGCAGACCAAAGTTGTTGATGTGATTAGTCCAAGACGCGGAGCTTGTGGTTGTACCCAGTGTGTGATACGTTTCTATGATAGAACTCTATAAGCCATATACACGTTTCGGCAATTCAAAGAGCATTTGGTATGCCATTTCACGATGTACTGAGCGAATGGTATGCTAGGTACTCCCACTTCCGTCAATATCCTCAATATTTCTGGGATCGGCACCCAGATGGGACTTCCCAACTCTCGAGTTCGCATTGATGTGATGTTGAGCCTGTCTGCTGGTGACGAGCATGCTGGTGTTATTCAAGACAAGCACAGCGAGATAAAACTGCATGGACCAATTTGTCCGACAAATTAGGCGGAAATTATACTTGTCATAAACATCAGGAGGAGCTGATCTCTAACAAGCATTCACATAGCATGTCACACACATTTACGTGATACGTGGGGTCCCTGTAGGCGTTACTGCCTCTAACACGCCGCTGATTTAACTCGTTGAAAATTTCCTAAGGAACTGAACGAACAAGATATTGACAACTGCACAAGGGCCGCCTCTTTTCGGAGTGTAAGAGCCTCTGAATAACACATGGAGGACATTCCGCTTCCATACTAAACACCATATGGGGTATCGATGTATAGCTCGAATATACAACCCGTAAATTCAACCTTGTTCTTTTCTCCCACCATGCATACGTATAAGTGGAGAAGTCACGCGAAACCTGTCCTCTCTTGATAGGTGAGAGGGTATAGGAGCTCGATTGTGAGGCCATAGCTGGGCAAGGCGGCGCCTCTGGGGAGTTGTCATTCCAGCAAAGTCGTGAACGAATCTGACATAGAGAGATTAAGATGAAACGTGGTGAAGTAGTCAAGTTGGACTTATGTAAGAGTCTCCGGCGAGCGAGGTCTTCGAACCACGAGGCTGGGGGTAAGAACTCTCCAGCGCGTCGTTGAAAGCGCAGTTCGCGACGGGTGGCAGGGGAGAGACATGGAGGCCTTCGGTGCGGAGAAGGAGGAGGAGTGGCATGATTTGATGAGGACATGAGAGGGCTGTGAAAGGAGGGAATCGATGTAATGATGAGCTCAGACACCGAGTTTAAAACTCTGTAAAGTAATTATAGATCATGTAATTCTCACAGTAAAATTTACTGTGAGAATAGATAGAGGAAGGAAGCGTTTCAAGAGAGCAGTAATATAATGACGAAACGGGCGAAGAGGCAAAGTGAAACGGGCGGAGAGGGATCGGGTGTAACAGAAGAGGGAAAACTGGGTGTAACAGAAGTGATCTGAGCCCCTATGTTGTAGTATTTTCACATAACCTATCTACGAGTACCTGGAATTTTAACAAGGAATTTACTAATCTGCTCAACGAAGCGAGCGCTCCGCCTTACTGACGATGAATTTAGTCAGGCTTTGAAACAGTGAATCCTGGAAATGGTGAATCGGAAAAAATTTCCGGCGAAACCTGATAACAGTGAAGGAACTAGCGCGCCCCACGAGGGCGCGCCAACAAAATTCAAGCCGAGATCCCCTTACGTCATATGTGTTGTAATCGACCGGTTGGTCTAGTCGTCAGGAGTTAGAGTTAGTAACCGACTGTCCAGGGTTCAAATGATTTGAATCAGATCCTGTGATCATCATGGTAATTTTGTAATTGAGACGCGGTTCAACCGCGGCAGTTGAGGACCTCAACTTGAGGTATTGACCAGCTAGGGCCAATAAGCTTGCCTAAATCAGCTGGCACGCCGCCTTAGCAGTTACTACAGGTCCACGAGTTGCAATACAATGCTATCCAGGAGCTCAGTATAGAAGTTGTATTTGTTCATGTTCAAGAGGAACAAGCATTAGGGCCTGTGGCCTCATGCATTGCTGTTTATCCTTGTGGTACTGCCAGAATTATTCATTTTCAAGGTTCCCATACTTCTTCTATAGTCGCTACTATGGACTCAAACGCTTTGCTTATGGCAATCGCGTATTTCAGCTAGTTGGTAACGGACTGAAAACTCACTCCCTCGTAATGGAACAGTGGAACAGAAGACAAAATATTTGATCAAAAGTGGACTGGAGACGACACGGACTTCCGAATCCCGAATCCCGAAGAAAGTGCACCATTCAGTACTTCGGGAGTACTACTTCCTGTCCACAACCATGGCTTAGGGTGACTCGAAAGCTATTACTAGACCGTTCGTGTTGCTCCGACTTTTGAAAAGTCGCTTCAAGACGCGCAACGAAGAACTATGCGTGAAAAAGATGACAATCTGTATAATATGCGCCCCGGTTCTCAGTAGTCCATAGCGCTGCGGTTGCTGTGAGCAAGCTGACTACTCAAACATTAAGCAACCGGAGAGAGAGTGATCATTGAAAGTTGAATCGGTTCGGGAAAGAGTGGTAGAACTCTCACCACTATGATATCCTAAATATCAGTACCACTGTGGTACTGATATTTAGGATACCGGTGCGGGCGAGTTTGTTGTTCACTATTGTCAGGCTTTCACCCGCTTTAGTGGGAGAAAAAGTCCCTACAACGGATTCACTCGCCCTTCAGCCTTTTCAGGATTCACTGTTTTCAGGCGGGACCGCAAAGATGTGTGTAGCGATCGCTTCGCTCCTTTAGGCAGCCTTGTTGAAACGGCTGAAGCGGCTAGGCGTCGAATGTTCTCTTTTGCAGTTCTATGATAATATTGAGCGAACGCGACCATAGGTGCTGTACTGGGCTATACCCTTACCGATTGCCCGCTCATTGTTTTGCGTGATGCATCTTGGATGCTCGATCGTCGAGCCCTTCTTCGACATGTCAATATCAATGAGCTGTGTGGTGCGGCTCGTGCTCTCGCATGGGCGACGCCTTTCATAGGGGGACATGTCCACCTCTATGTTGACAATGCGTGTGTGAGGGCGTGGATCGGAAATTTATGCAAGGTGAAGCCGTTAAGAAGGGCGGTCTGTCAGCTACAATGGTCGGTCGGAGGCTCCAGTCTACATATGACATTGCTGAGACCTACGAAAGCTCCGCTGTTCATCGTGTTGATAGTGCGGCAAATTTAGCTGATCCACTGAGCAGGGTCGATGCTCCATTCGGAGAGCTTCTGACCTACTGTGAGGTAGATGGAGATGAACAGATCCATGTGGATGCCGAATTGCTCAGCAGCCCCACAGCGACCCACGTAGTGGGATGTGTTTTTTTTCCAATGACATATCATGAGCACGAGCAGTAATCAACAAGAGCAATGGTACAGCTGATGAAAACTGACATCTTCAAGTCATAAGGCCAGACAGTGGACCAAGTATAACATCAGGAGTGGTGAGGCCTTAGCAGTCGAAACCAAATCTTCGAATAATATCATCGAGGGCTTTAGATAATGATGCCAAACTGTTGTCATCCACTTCCCAGCCATGCCTCGATGAAGCAGCTCAATTGTCTCTACATTAGTGCCACAAGTGACTGCATGACTGGCAGTCAAGTCTTTTCCACATACACAACACTGTATTACTCTTCGACTCCCTTTAACATATTTCATACTTCTCAAAGAGTCACACCTAAGTCGACAGAGCAAAGGTTGATGTTCCCTGCTCAGGCCAGGATATACCGCCAGCCCAGGAGCACATCCACGCACCAAGTACGCAGCCCGCTCCGGTACGATTTGATGGCGATCTTTGAGTACCACCTTAGTAGTGGATATAATATCAGACAGCGGAATCGGTAGGTCATCATTGATGACAAGAGTCCTACCACCTACTTGATCATCCATGGTTACTTGAGTAGCAAGCGCATCCACAGCGTCATTATGAACCAAGCCACAGTGCGAAGGTATCCATTGGGGAAAAAGACCAACACCCAATTGTCCCTTGAGTTCTTCGGCCTCGGCCACAACAGTAGTTACCGTTGGATCCCTGGTATTGAAGCCACCACCCAGAGCATAGGCCACCGACTGATTATCCACGCGAAAACAGATACCATTACTCACCAGTCTACCAGCCATACTCAGTAACCACCGTATAGCATAAAAGACACCAGGCAACTCAGCATAATAGATCGAACCATAGGGACTGAGCGGCACTGCCTTCTCACATAGAACTTCCCCATCAAGCACACATCTATAGCCACATCCCACTCTACCATCAGCCTTCGATCCATCAGAGAAAACTGCAAGGATCCCATCTCCAAGTTCAGAGAGCATATCTTCAGCACATCTCTTGAACTCCTTTTCATTGCCATCTTTCTTCATAACACCTTGACCGATGTCTAACCGAACCGAGCCAAAAACAGCGCAGTGTCTATATATGGGGTCTCTATATGGTACTACTCTAGTAGTTGAACATTGAGGAAGAGCATCTGGTAGTAGACCTGATAGTTCGACCATCATATCATCGAATCTGTGCAGTGGGGCTCATTTCTTCAGTCTTCGGGAACCCGTCCAATCATCCAAGGTGAACTGCGCTAAATGAGTGAAAGGCAAGGCCTGAGCCCGGAGAGTCCACCCTATAATGGCCAGATCTAGCAGATAGTTGATTGGTTTCAGTCCAGACTCACGCAGAACCAAGTCAGCACTGCTGACTTGGTTGTGCTGACTCAGCAGGAGTTTGTTTCGGCAACCCAGTAATAAGTCTCGCACCAGAAATTTAACTAGCACTCTCACGCTAGCAGCAACTTGAGTGCATAACGTATATCTCATCCTAGACTCCACTACTGCTTGATACGTAGACCTAATCACAGCTGCCGAGCGACCAAAATTCGCCCCCGCGACCGCACGCACGAGATTCAACCTAGCCTTGAGATTACCCACCGGGGCATAAACGTTTGCCCGACAGCTCAGGCCTGAATCTAGGATTATACCCAGATACCTTAGCGTCGGTTTACATTTCAGCTGCTGACCATACAAAGACAACTTCGGTAAGAACTTGGCATTTCCAAGCGTGAAAGCGATGCACTGGGTCTTAAGAGCGTTAATAGTAAGCTTCAAGCCGTCTGCCCAGCTCCGCAGACGATTGTTCCGAAGACTTTGCAGACGATTCAAAGCTGTCTGCATCAGACTCTCTGGTCCGGTTCTTGATTCAGATTTAACCAACAGCAAGATATCATCCGCAAATTGCAGCACTAGACAGTTTTCACCCAGAATATCTTGGAGCTGAGAGAGTCTCTCAGAGAGACCAATACAGCAAATAACCATGGTAAAACCACACTTCCTTGAGGTGTACCACAATTCGGCCGCATAGTCTCGCTCACAGAGTTCCCACAGTGTACACGAAACCTCCTATGTTTCAAGAAGTCATTCAACCATACCAAGAGCCTGCCACGTATACCAACCCCTCTGAGTATCAGCGTCAATTTCTGGACCCAGGCAGTGTCAAAGACCTTGGACATATCAACTGCTACTCCAACAATCGCTTCACATGCAGAGCCTTGATAACATTCATGAACGAAATGAAGGCCTCTCATGAGTAGATCTTCAGTGTTGTGACAAGGCCTGTATGCCGCTCGACTACCAAGGATAGGAGGGTTCGCGTTTTCTGAACGAAAGGTGAGTCTTGCTTGAACTTCAAGCAAGACTCGTCAAGCGGACTCTTCAAGCCTTGAAGAGTCCGCTCAGCAGCTTTGCAGCACACTGATGTCAAGGATATAGGTCTAAAACCGCCTCAACACAATACCCGCCTTCTTTGGAGTGCCTCTAATTTCAGCTCTTTTCCACTCCTTAGGCAACCTACCCACTATGAAAGAGGTGTTGACAATGTGCCACAGCCAACGTAGTTGAGCTTCTCTCCCTTTTTGCAACCACGACACCCCAATTCCATCTTCACCTGGAGTCTTCCCCTTTTCCAATTCACTAACCGCTTGTTGCCATTCACACCACTCAGTCGGTAAATTACACAATTTCCCTCCCCTCAACCACATCCTCTCACGCCTCAGGCACCGGATAGATTCTTTCCTAACTGCAGCATCACTAGACTCAAACCTTACAGTCGATACTCTCTCATAATGACTGGCTAATGTGTCAGCTATATCTTTCTCATTCACCACAGTCTTCTCACCACGCAAAAGATATTTCTTCCCGGGCACTTGTAGTCTCTCTTTGCCTGTATACCCTTCAGCGCATGCCACAGTTCAGTGGTAGGGGTAGTTGGGCCAACATCAAGCAGAAACGTCCTCCACTCACATGTCTGAGCCTTGCATGTTAGCCTCTCTGCCCTTTCCCTAGCCTTCTTATCGGCAGCATGATTTTCTACTGTAGGATTTAATCTATAAGCTTCACTGGCGCTCTGTCTCTTAGAGACAGCCTCACGAACTTCAGGGTCCTTATAGGAGGCGGAGTAATTGAAAACCTTGCCACGCGGGATCGCTCTCAATGTCATAGCCCTGCGATACGTAACAAAATCTCTATCAACATTCCCCGTGGGTTTAGAATCCCCAATTTTTGACTCGAACACCTCCGCAAAGAGATCCCAATCGTCCTTATCAACATTCCAACGAGGCTTCGGCTCAGATACAAGCTTATTGAGACCAGATACTGTCAAGAAGCAAGGACGATGATCACTGCCACCCACATCCCAGAAAACCGACCATTCGCAGCATGCGGCTAGCTCTCAGTCTACAATACATAGATCAATGACTCCATGACTGGCACCGAGACGGCGACAGACATATGTCACATCTCCATTATTCACACAAACATGGCACCTATCACTCATCCATTCTTCCAGCTGCAACCCACGACAACTATTCTCATTTCTACCACCACTTCAAGGTAGTGACTTTGCATTAAGATCACCACACCAGATAACACTTTCAGACTCCTGAAGCTCACACTGGACAGTGTCCAATGAGTCTACATTGATGCGAGCTATCGAGGGGGAATGATAGATATTCGGCACAACAAAACTCCTACCCGCCTTCCAAACCATCACCACCAACAGTTCTGTATCTAAACCTTCACCTACACCACTCCCGTCATCCTCATCCAGCAATAGCCTATCATACTTGATCTTGTCTTACACATATGTCAGGAGTCCCCCACCCCGGCTTGCACTACCAGACCTATCGCGCCGTTCATGATCGTAGCCTGTTAGCTTGAGATTACCATCAGTTACCCCACCACCAAGCTTTGCTTCTTGAATGCATAGAACATCACAAGTCGACTTCAACATAAGCTGATGAGTCTCCCGTAGCTTTGGTTTTGCACCATCAGCGTTGAAGTGAACCACCTTCAACTCCATCTCCTCAGCAGTACTTTTATAGTACGGCTTTTGGATCACGTAAACGGGGTCCTTCCTAACCGCAGCCGTATAACGGGGCTGCACCCTATCTTGTTCATTCTCATTACAAGCGCTCATGACCTTATGCGGCATAAGTTATGCCTAAGGGGGTGCCATTCTCCGGTAGATGATACCGTCTGGCCAGGACAATATCAATTAGCTTCACTGTACACCACTGGCTGGCCATGTGACTGTATACAGCTACTAATCCCAGCCGCCCACTTAGAAGACTTCGGAGATGAACTTGTGGACGGGAGTGGGATGTGCTGGTGCGACTACTAGACTTCTCGGTGACGAGCTTGTCCTCGACCTTGGGGTGGTAGTTGAAGCTCAGCATGACGATGAGGTCCTTTTCAGAGTACGACGTTCACTGAGACACGAACGATCGTTTCCTGAAGTCATTCCAGTTGATCTACAACAAGTCGCCATAAGCTTCGAGATCGACTACATCGCCGTCTTGGTACGGCGATACTATGCTGACTATCAAGGGAAGGAGGTTGTGGTACCCGTCCTACCTGGCTAGTTGATCGCCGAGCTGGTCCATTCAGTGCATGGACCATTATGCCATGCAGGTATAGTTGTGATACTTGTGCGCGCAAGACCAAACGTCTGTTGGTAAAGCACGATATTGGTCTCTTATCTCCGGGCTTGCCCGGAAGTGCGACACCTTGGTCGATTGTATGTGCACACGTTGACAACGTGACGTTGTCTACCTACTACCTGGAGTACCTTACTTAACACAGCAGTGCGTTTTATCTAAATTCGCCTGCTTGTGCAGAATCGATGGTGAAGATGTTACTTCTGTCACTAATGCCTTTGAAGAAGTCTGGCGTGCCATCGGTAAACGTCTGCAATCTCTTCTGACGGATAATGGCGTATCATTCTTGAACTGTGATTCACCGGACGTTATCTGACTGTTCACTGCGCCATATGTCCGTCGAATGGCATGATCGAGTCCCTACATCGTACGGTACGGCTGTGGATGCGTTCTTCAATGGCTGATGATCCAAGTCTGTCGCCTGATGATGTTGTTGGCCGAGTGATGAAAGCTTACAACGGTACGGTACACTCTGTCACGCGGCGTGACTCACGCATCGTATCCCAGTTGAGATGTTCAACGTGGATCTCAATGCCCATGCCTCTGATCGTGTGGAATGGGACCGATTAGTGAACACTGTTCACTGAACAGTGCCATTAAGTTAGCTGACGAGAAGTTGCAGTGTTCCACGAAACACGACTTATACCCTGGTGCTATAGTCCGTTTACGACGTAAACTTTACGTGATGTTCGTATGGAGACCATACTATGGACTTGCATAAAGCTGATCAGCCCCCTTATGCTGAGAAAAGTTGGCGTATCATAGGGTTTCTTTCTAAGAAAGGACTTGTAACTAACAAAGATTCTCCCGATTATGGCCTTTTCCGGAAAGCAAAAATTCTGTGGGAGAGATTCTGTGAAAGTTGTTCATGTCTCACGGCTTGTCCGTTGCTTCCCGGCTAAAGTTGATGTTGAAGATCTATGAAGGTCCAACGAATGCATTGTGATTTACTGTTAGATGGGAACGAGCTCAGAGACCTCCTCGTGGTGTTCCTGGAAACTCAACTATAATGCTTATTGTTGAGGCTAACATCTAAGCATTCGACTGTTTCTTCCCTTTCTGTTTCCTTGTACATTCTGTTATTGTTGCTTTGTCGGATTGCTTCTCGTTTTGTTACGTCTGTATATCCTTGTTAGTCAGTCCAGATGAATGGTTCCGATTATGCTATTGGTCGGACATATATATGTATGTTGAGATATGCACTTGTGTATGTTCTTTTCACTGTTTATTTGGATTTGTCTTGTGTTGTACCACACGACGACTAACCAACCACTACCACAACAGTTGTGATAGTGGTTGGTTAGTCACCTGTTTAGTCTACTCATCAATGGATGTGTCCCCGTGTTGGGGGAGTTGTTGGACGAGTATGTGGTCGATAGTTGTCGGAATCCATGTATTGTTGGATGTTTTATCCGACGGATAATGGGTAAAGGTTGATTGGTACCTTTTGGTTGATTAAAGGTAAATTTGTTGTGTGTTGGATTCAGGGTACCATTTTCAAGTCGGTCGATTCGGGTAGTGCGAAGCTAGATTTGTGCAAATTACTAGCTTCGCGTACTAAGTAGTCGCGATGATTTTCTAATCACATACATGTTTATCATGATTGTCATAATTCTTTTCGCACTACTGTTCATTTATTTTGTTTGATTGACCTTCATGGCGTTTCGTGTTCCAGCTGCCTTTGAGTGGCGTTGTGCTTGAATTGCCCTGGTATTTTGTTTATCTCTTTCATTTAGTTCCTTTTCTCGATACTCTGTCTTGAAATATGGACGCACCGTTGTTGGCGTCGACATTTTCAACTGCTCCAGATCTGCCTGACTCAGACGAGTTAATGACAGTCATTAACTCAGGTCATTAACTAAATTATTTAGTTATTAACTCAGTCATTAAATGACTCAACTATGGTCTCAGAGACCATAGTTGAGTCATCAACTCAACCACCCTTTTCGGCCGACTCTTGGAGAACGTTGAAGGCAGCGTTTGATGATGCCGAATTGTTGGGGGAAATGGTAGATGCTTGTGCTGTCGCTATGGGTGCCGTATTGGACAATGATGCTGAACCGCCTCGGGCTGATGTTATCGCTGTGAGACTGAGAAGAGCAAGACTCAGTGCTGCATTGATTGCTTCTGCTTCTCAAAAAGAGGATATTGTGAAGGCGAAGTTTTTCGTGGGTAAGATACTCGCGTCAGCGGCACAGTTTTTTTGTTGTTCACCTCATAATGAACTGGTTCCTATTCCGCTTGTTGCGGTGGTCTTGTCTCGAGAAAGATATGCATTTATTGAATTTGAAGCTAATCCTGAGATCACCGCGTCGGCCTGCAAGTCTGTTATACAGTTCACTCCAGATGGTCAAGCCGTAGACTCTACGGCGTAGAGACTGTGAAACTTCCTACGGGGAAACTTCCTAATACTTTGAGCAATGACTTCTATTGATGTTGCGGTGGGCCTTCGCTATATATGTCTTTGAGGGTAAGGGTGACTTGATGCATGTCTGTGAGTATGCTGCGGGGATTGCCTCAATATCAAATAAACACGGTTTTGGTAAAGCACAGTTGTTTGATCGACGTTATCGTCAGCGAATGCTGTTATGCATGAGACTGTTACAATCTTCTCCTACTCATGATGAGGTCAAGATGGAAGATCATCAGGCATTCTCTACCTTTCTGGCTAAGAATCTAGAGGCAGAGCTTCTTGCAGAGGTGTGTGCGAATGCTTCCCCAATGTTGCCAACATTATGTTGGGGAAACCGAATGCACCTGGAGCGAGAAATATGTCAAAAGTGGAGTGGGAAGGTACATGCAGGTTTACTAAAGAAGACTCAGTCTTCTTTGGGCAATCTTCAAGACTGCCCATATGAAGACTGAAAGTTTGCTGAGCACTCACCGCCTACTACTCAGCTAGGAAATGCTGTTATGGGTAAAAGAGATATTGATAATCAGGGGCAGGGGCCGAGAGATAATAAGGCAGCTAAACGATAGCCGGCCCGATACTCAATACTGGTATCTCATGTGAGGTTGGGAGTTTGTTTCTGTGAGTGTTCTTTTAACTAGGATATAATCCGATATTGGCAGTTTGATACTCGGTGTGTGTCGCATGGAAAACGGATTTCACCTCATCAGTAGTTTGTTGTGTTGAATAAGTGTCGAAGTACTTTGGGTCAAAGTAGATGGTCTCCAAGTCTGCTGAGTGGGCTTCTCATCAAGCTAGGGCTAAAACGGAAGAGGGAGAAAGAATCTCCTTGATTTCCTAGAGCATACTACATCAGTAGAAACAAGGGAAGGTTATGAATCTGCGTATAAATATTATAAGTCCATGAGAATGGAATTTCCACTGTCTGGTTTGAAGTTATGTTTGTGAGGGGTTTAGTGGAATCAACAAATTTGCAGTACACAACGATATCGAAATACACATCGGGATTGAAGACACTCAACCAATTACATGGTTTTGGTGATATTTCGACATCGGATAAAAAGCTGGTAGCTCGGACGTTGCAATCGCCGCGTAAGATGAAACCTCAGATGAAAAAGAGGCGAACGAAAAGCTCCGTCGATACCGGAAAAGTAGCGAAAAGTTTGTTCAAATTACCGGTTGGTGTTTTAAGAGCGGAACTTGAACAAACCAAGGATGCTATTTTAATGGGCATTTCATCAGCTCTAAGACTTGGGAATAGAGCTCTACGACTCTCGGCTCAACTGTGCTGTTGTGTTAAGCACAGTTTTACGGGCATCTGCAACAGTCGAACCCTCGGTTCCCCCAGAAGCTCGGCCAGGCACTGCGAGTACAGTGCGAGCCAATTCAACTAATGAGCCGTGATTTATGAGTGTAAGGATTCCGGTAGCTCCGGCTGTGACCCTTGTGACCCCTGACTGTGAAACACTTTACTCTCTTGTGGACTCCGTACGGGCTTATTAAGTGATCAAGAATAAAAAAATGATACAGTATGATGCTTCATAGATCCTGCGGGCACTTCCCCTGCTTGAAATCGGTGAGAGCTGTGACACCGCCAACCGTAGTTACTAGAACATTCTGGGATCCGATGTAAGCGTATCTCGCCAAGTCGTACTCGGCGTCAAGTTTTATCATACCGGGGCATTTCGAGGCAACGTCTTTGACGAATCGCTCGAGCTCGGCCATGGTGGCCCGCGTGACCTTGAAGAATCCAGCGCCAGCTGTATATAATAGCACGGTTAGCGATCTAACTTCTACTTCGCACCTTAAACGAAAGTTCACCGAATATAATCCTTGTGTAATCATCGACCGCCAGGTTAACTGGGCACAGGTTTCTGGGGTGACCATTGCGTTGTAGTCTCCTTCGGGTATTTCAGGTTGGCAGGTTCCTCCGGGTGTTTTAGGTCCGCATAGCACCAAGAAAGAAGTAGCTATGAAGGAGTGAATGAAGTAGATGTTCATAGTATCACTCAGAAGTGGATATAACTGACATGAGAGTATAAGAACCATGTCGTTGGCATCATCGACAGTTCAATTTTCCCCGATTATTGAACCGAGAGACGAAGAATTGGAAGAGCTGAGCGTGCGCCGCGCCCCACCGCTACATCGCGCCCCCGGGGGGCGAGAACGACGAAGCAAGAACCACTTCATGAGGGGCCTCTTCCAAGAGCACCGTGCTCTGAGCACGGGAGGGAAGGACCATACACCCGTACAGCAGCTCTCGAGAGTTCTACCGGTTCTGAAGTCGATGAGGAACGACGAAGCCAATCGACAGCCAAAAACGACAGGCCCTGCAGAGACTTCGTGAAGGGGGGCGGTCGAAATGCCTAGTCTGCTCCCCTATCATCTGCAGAATTCTGTCTAGAGTTTTACACCGAGACACAGATGTGTATCGTATTATAAAATTCCCGCGTCGCACACCTGTGCGACGGAGCGTGGAGCTGCGTAACCTTCCTGCTTCCCCGTTCAAGGGAGTTTGGGAGGGTCCAAAAAAGGTGGTCAAAGTAAGCTCCGGCCGTCCCTTTCGAGCCCCGAGTCGGGGCCCCCGACTTCAAAGGCTCTTCCTGCAACGAACGACTCGTCGTGCATGTGTGCACGTCTTGCTACCCAGGCGTGACGTGACGCCACGTGACGTGCCACGTGACGCGCCCCCATCACGGATACCAAGGGAATTTTACGTCTCCCGATGAGCTGAGAAAGCTCGTTGTCGAGTGTTATCAGCTCAGACCATGAAAAAGCGGGGATACTGCCTCCCGCCCTGCTCTTCCTGGAAATAAATCTAACGCTTTCACGGAGCGTCCGGCGATTCGGGATCCAGTGTTGCGACGAAATATAACTTGGGAACAGTTTCTTCTCAGGAGTCCATTGCCACCGTAAAGAGGAGTCATCTGGCAAATTTTCTCAATGGTCTCTCTCTCGCTCGCAGCCGCCGCACGGCTAGGCGACTCCGAGCTACACCTAGTGCAGCAACGGAGTTTATGAGGTCAAGTATAGGGCTGACCAGACCGCGCAGCAGAAAAAAGAAACAGTAGGCTCGCGCCTATAATAGTTGCATTAATACACAGCAGAACGTGCATTCATGTTCTTCATTATCACACGAGCCACCAGGTGAGGGGTGATTCGTAGTTAATCTCGCCACTTCTTGGTCACTGCTCAGGGGACGTGCTAGAGTACTAGAATCGATCTCTATTTGGCATCGGGAGGACCCTGGTCACTCCCACGCGATGATGACGCATAGAGATGGTCACTCATTACCATCATGGCTTCCAGCCCCCTTCACTTGGCGATCTTCGTGCAGTGCGCATGCAAATACAGGCCCGATCGCAGCTTCCCACCCAAAAACTCGTCAACTCAACTCGTCCCGCCCTGCCGACTTCATCTGTGGCCATCGGGCGGCCATCCTCACACAGTTGCGGATCGCACGTCAAGATGCAGACAACCAGAAACTACCGGGTGGCAGAGGGTGGGCAAAAAGAGCCAGCACGCTCACCAGCAACTGATAGATGATAAAGTAAGGTATGTCGCAGGTTCGGATCCCACGACATCCGCTTGTAGGTTAACACCAACTACGCAATGTCTGACCTGTAATGGAATATTTTACGATGCCTATAGCAGCATTCGCTCTGGCAAGACCATGAGAAGGGCTCAGTTATAAAATAGCAAAGGAGCAAATGGCAAAAAAGTGCCTATTAGCTGGAATGTATATTTCCTGCGGCTTTTGCTGTTGTGCTAGTGTGTAAGAAAGGTATGGCTGATATACAAAGCAGCAAAGTAGCAAAATTCACTTCACAAATACGCAAATTTGCCGTATTGTATAACAGGAACTGCTCGAATGAATATCGTTTGCTTGTTTATATTTCAGAGAATTGCTACAATACATGAAAGCTGCCGCTATGTGAAGTGCTATTATGTGACAATTTGAGCAATTTTGCTCAAAAAAAGGGACAAACCAATAAATTGCTCCTTCTACTATTGAGCAAATTGCTACTTTCCAGAGCAGCAATTTGCCGCTTTAGGAATGAGCAACCCCGCAATTGGCACTAGAGGCTTGCGGAAGAGATGAAGCAAATTGTCACGCGGGAATTCGAGCTGGGCGAATATTGCGTGTGGGACGCTAAAGTTCATACTTGGGAATTTTCTCCGTGTTGGTTTTTTGCGTGTATAGTTCCTCGACACTCCTACACAGTCCATAATAATTGATCTAAAAGGCAGTCTACTGGTGCGGCACCAGTGGTGCCTATGGATGGAAAAGCTACAGAGAGGAAACTAGGGCGCAGTGGGAACCACAGGTGTAACCTGTGAGCGTAGCGTAAGCGAACCAACACCCATAATGGGGAACCCATTATTATCCCGTGTGGCGCAAAGTTGTGCAGCACGCTAGAATGAGTCTCAACTTGCGACTCTCAAGTTAGAGTTTCCACTATTATAGTGAGAAGTTCAGTCGACTTGGGCTGTTATTGTCTGAGGTTTTGAGTGTGTCATGTTGCGATACGTCAAGTATCATAACGCATGGTGGTTGGGCGTCTTCCTCGAGCACTCGAGTGTTTGCAGGTCTTCATTGCGCGCTCGAGATGCAATCCACATACTCGACTCGAGTGACTCGAATTACCACTAATGGTGTGTACTAAAGCGTCGTAGTAAGGCCGCCTTACTAAGGCGTGCGCAGCTCGTAATCAGCACTTCTAATCTGCACTCCTTACTTCCACGTTCCATGTCAAGTTGAGTGGAGGCTCCACAGACTCATCATCGGTCAAGCGCAGCTCCACTGTGGAGCTGCGCTTAGCCGATGACGGAGTCTGAATGGAATTCGACGAAACAGCCCAGCTTCCCCGAGAATTGGATGCTGCGTTGATATACTGAGAGGTTGAAGATATCTTAGCATACTATATCTTTCAAAAATCTGGGTTGCGACTGAGATGCCTTCGTGTAGGCCACCAATTCGGCAAGTAGCGGAATCAGATTCTTGACAAGAATTACTCGTATAAAGACATCGGTTCCTGGTTTCATGCAGCTATGCAATAACTATACAGTGTAAATCTTAATCACTTGCAGTCTGAAATTGATGTCCTCTCATGAATGTTTCCTTTTTCTAGAAAACTGATCGCCATAGATAGTTTCTGACTGCAAGCTCGTGATTACCTGCGGCTCCATGTTGCAGCATGCATTAGATTGTATATTAGGCGCAATACTGTAATCGAACGAGAAACTCTACCCCATAACTATGTTTGCTCGATTGTATATTACTCGTACGAATAATTCAAAATGACAAGTTTGCTAATAACGCTAACAGAGACGCAGTTTGAGCGAGTGAGCGAAACGCTAGTATATATTCCCGCAGGGCGTAAGTTACAAGAGAGCAAATAGCCGAAACATAAAAGTAGCGCAGCGTTGTCACATACCGGCAACTGCCAATTTGTATATTTCATGCAGGAACATCACACAAGGGCAAACCTTGAAAAATGCCAGACTATATAATTACAACGCAAAATATACCAAACAGCAAATGAGCACAACTTGCCAGAATAACGAAAACGTGCGGGCGAAGCACACTTGGGCAAAAGTGCCAGCGTGTGAAACATTCCGGGGAAATATACAATGCAGCAAAGAAAGAGCAAAAAAGAGCGACTTGCTGGAAAACACTTTTGAATTTGCTACTTTCAACATTTGGTTGCTAAAACCTATACCAGAAATTGCTAGGTTGTAAATGTGGTTGCTACTTTGTAACTGAGAAAGCAGCACATACGAAAGAGCAAAAAAGTGAGACTGTCAGAAATTATAGCATTTGGCAAATCGGCAATATTAGCAAAAAGTTGCGATTGCCGGATTGTATTACACCGATGAAAAGATGGAGAAAAAACCTTTTTTTGGGTGGAAAAGACGAAATTTCATTTTTTTTTAAATTTCGGCTGCCCGCCGAAATTGCATGAAATTTAAGAAATTGGAATGTGTGAAATGTGAAATTTCAATCAGGGCTGCGAACCCTGATGGCGGAGACTAACGCTGAACTCCATGCTCCCGATTAACGTCAGCAAGTAGCTGATAAATTGCCGTTTTCTTCCCTCTCGCGACGATGTTCGGGCTGTCAGTTTGCGCTCGTGAGGGCAGTAGAGGGTTATGTTGCAGCCATGAGAACTGTGGTGCGTGGCATTTCACGTATTTGTTGATTTGGGTCATGCGTCAACTGATCGCTTCGCTCAACAAGCCTTGGGTTAGTCAAGAGCGTCGATGCTTTTGTGAATGAAACTTTTGGTGAGGATCTGGAGCAGTGTTTACAGCTAGGCTTCCTATATCGATCGTTTTGGCCGAAGTCTCTAGTGTTGCTCATGCCTCGGAAAATGGTCGTCATTAGTCAACCGGGTTGGGGGGACAGAGTGATTATGGATGTGCTCTAGCAACGCATGGAACCTTGCGTCTGGGGCAAGCTGACTCGCAGCCAGCTCAGACTGGCACCATACAGCAGTCAGTGACTGTTGCATGGTGCAATGCTCTATGAAAAAGGTACCCACTCCAGCTCTGACTGTACCTCTAGAAGCATGTGTCATCAGAGATGAACAATCTATATATTTGTCTCTCAATGACTTTGCTTGAACCACATGACGTCAGCTTCCGTTGTTTTTGCTAGCCTTTCTTTCTTGTTCATACTATCACTAAACACAAAACCGCCTCTTGTGTGTTGGTAGAAGATTCAAAATTATCAGCAATAATTTTACGTATGATTTACCACTCCTCCAGATATTCTACTGATACTAACTAAGCCGTTCATCAACCACTGCAGTCGAGCGTAAATAAATGATTGAAATTTCGGATTTGCGATACTAGACGAGGGCCAGCGTAGGGCATCTCCTGCCACCAGAGCCGCGCTCTCGACGAGCTCACCAAGGCCATTTTCTTCAAGCGAATAGAGCAACTTCAAGTCATCAGCTTCCGACCAAGCCCATGTGGGATCCTCCTTCCACATAGGCGGAGGACGACGAGTTTGAGCTACTATTCTTTGAGATACTCCTGCTAAATATACGGGATCACTTGTACTGAAAACAACAAGTAAATCCATAACATGCATCCGCCAAGACGGTACCTTAGCCTTTCGATAGTGAGTCTTATTAGATACAGTTGACCATATCGGCGCATGAAGTTCATGCCTTCACCCACCAGATAATCGTCAATAGCGGCACCATCAGGAAAATGTGAAGGGAATCTCCCATGGTTGCCCTCACTTCTAGCGATACTTGTTTCAATGTCATTGATAGTCTAAAAAAGAATCGTTTCGCTCCCAACTTTTCATATACGCTGAAGAGCTCACCTTGAGATAACGGAAGAACATAACTACGTAAGCGTCAAAGACGTGATGGGACAACCCTCGGAATTCAGGAGGAGAGCGTAACTGTGCTGCATGTGGTTGCTCTCTAGGGATGTAGAACCTCATAGCAAAATTGAAGAATTTCCGTCGAGCTTCCAGCGGGAAGAATTCCCATACCTCCCTGAAGAACAGTTTCCCACACGACATCAAGGCAATGTTCTCACTTCCCATGAATTTCGATGAGCTCCTTCACGCTTAATGACTCCCATGATGCAGGTACTCTTGCAATTGATACGGAATCACCATTAACACCGTATGGTGATGATGATGACGACGAGACACCAGTGTTGCTCGCCATTCGCTGTCCATAAGCCATATTGTGAGTAATACTCATCTGACAAAGGAGGATAACGACAAGTGCATTGATGCAGAAGTCCTACGTACCCCTCCTGGAGATGGATACACCATAGGTCGACCAGCATTCATCGCAGCCTGATTCCATGCTTCCCGGTTCGGCTCCGATGTGGCTACGTTCAAAGGAGACTCTCTTTGAGGAATGCCATTCTGAAGGTGCCTGGACAACGCTTCGCCTTCTCGGAAATTACTGGGCATAACCCGGCCCAACGGAAGCATCGAGGGAGAACCTTGAGTTTGGACACTCCATGGTTGTCGGGCCTCTTCCAAGAGAGCAGCGAGCACCTCGTAGATCTTATGGCTCTCCATACCTTTAACAAGCCTTGCACCATCATTCACAGCCAACAACAGGGTAGGGCGATCAGGACCTCGTACGAATTGACCAGGCCCCAGATATACATAAACATAGAACCCGGTAGTAGACAATGTGACACCCAGCAGGAGCTCTCCTTGAATAGGCTTATGAGGTGCTTGGTTTGAAGCAGCTTGTTGCGTCCCTAACGGGTATTGCGGCAATAAGTTAAATGATGAGCTTCCGGGAGAAGGTCGAGCTCGAGCATACGGATGGGCATAAGATCCTCGCATGGAGTTAGAAGGACGAGAATCCACTTCCAGGTTGCCAGGTAGTGACTCCCCAGTAGGCGGGTCGGAGTTCTTGCTGAGATTGGGAAATAAATTGAGTGCGTCAGCATAGAGTTGAAGCGTATCCGCTCTTCTGTTAACAGCACGACCTTGTCGCAGTCGCTCTACAGCCACAAGAGCGGCGCTCGAACCGAAGCGCATGTTTTCGAGATAGCAGGAGTGTAGAGCAGGATCGGACAGGATGTCGTAGGCGTTCTTGATAGTCTTGAAGAATTCTCCACAAGCTTGACCAGCCTTGGGAGACGCAGCTCCAGTAGTAGAGTTAGGATGAAACCTCAGGGACAGGTCGAGATACGCCCTCCTTATACGCGCATCATTAGCCGAAGGCGGGACGCCTAGGACTTCGAATAAGGTAGGCGGCTGCTGCAGTTTAGCATCCATGAGCGGGTCAGGAAGTGAACTACGGGAAAAGTAATTGGGGATGAGATCAATCAACACAATGCGGAGGTGAGGTGAAGACTAACGACGTCAATAACGTGTTCTTCTCTCCAGGTGATAAAACAACATCCGAGCGAGGTCCTTGGAACTTCTTCAACACCGAGTCTTTAGTCTCATAAAACCCGGAAAGGAAAAGCACAAATTCGCATGCAACACACACTGCACATTTGCGGGAGGCCCAATCGCATCAAAGGTCTTGGTGGTACCCCGCAGCCAGAAGATGCAAACGTCCTCTTAGTGAGCAGGACTCTCCTCATGATCAACAAGGAGCCGTCTCGGCCAAAGACAGTGCTGACCCTTTCCAAGAGGCGCACAATGCCCTCAGAGAGGTTCGCATACTAAAGCCTGCTCACAATGCTCTCGCTTCCCGGGATTGTGCGGGAGTAGAACTCCCGCTAGGGATGATCAGACTTGAGACGCGGCTGATAGACTTCTGGGCCGCGTCGCGATTTTCCACAAGTAGAAGCGTGGGCAGCCACACCAAGTGTGGCGGAAACTCGACGACCATTTTCCAAGCTCAAACCTCCTCGTTTGACCAATCCCACAATCCGGAACTGATACTGCTAAAATAAGTTTCACGCGACATGGTCACGTGAAAAGCAAGTGTCCGCACAATGTGACACCAACTAGCACACTGCTTTGAGTGCGTTCACGCGTACCCACACGCTTTCAAAAATGTACACTGCTTGTCGAGATAGCTACTGAAGCCTCCTTCCCGTTGTTCATACGGTTCTCTGGCCCTTTTGATCACTTCGGCCGAGCTGCCAACACGGTGTATAACCTGACAAACAATCAGTTCGGAGTGGGAGACGAAATAATGCACAAGGGAAACACAGATTTTGCGCGGGGGTTCTCGGCACAGAGAAATATGAAGGGGCTCCCCATGGTTAGCGAGCACTGTATCTCCTCAGATCTCGACTGCCGACCATACCTGAGTAGAAACGACCTTATCCACGCGGCCTCGTCTGACCAGCTCAATCCATTTTCGTAAGGCACCAAGTTGGATTCGCCCTATGATATCTTCAACGTTGTAGCTCGGTGATGTCAAGGTAGATGAGAAGAGGTCCTTCTGACCATCATAGCAGCTGTAGCCTCCTCCGAACCAATAGAGTCGATGCTCGCTACTGAGACGTCTGATCCATCCCGCCTCGTGCGCTCCGGACGAGTCATCAATAGCGCCTTCAGCGCTATAACAGGAGCCCGAGGGGTCAATGAAGCACCAGTCGCTTGCACCGTGATAGGGCCATCGGTCAGTGCTACACAAAAAGGCCGTCAGACGACCAGGACGGGGCTTCTCGGAAGATAGGAATGTAAGAAGAGGATCCCAACTGCTCATTTGTGGTAGCTGCTGATGGAATATCATCCTCGAGCGGTTGTTCACCTGAGCGTCACGGGATAGTCGAGCTACAACGGCAATCTGCGCACAAGAGCAATACGCCACACAATCGGACAACACAACGGAGTGAGAGGACAGGAAGAAGCATGTCACGACCACTTGTAGGAATTATGAACCAAATAAGGACCTACCACTAGGACAGCAGGAACGAGTGGCCGCCAGTAGAATAGAGAGAAAGCTCTGAGCCTTCTCCCCTCACATGTGCCTTGCCGAACTCTGCGGCATACGGCAGCGCACAACTACACGTACCTCCTCCACACCAGCCTATTCCTCGTTGTCTCATCAGGCGCCACTGAAGCTTTCCTTACAGTCTTCGGCAGAGGGCGCAGGGGGAGAGGATGGACGAATCCTATATAAGCTGTGGAAACTGATAGGAGTCCTGTCACAGGACCTTGCAAATGCTCCAAGAACGACCGTCAGACCGCTGTCTCTCAGCTCGGCCGTCGACGGAGCTGAGAGACAGCCACCGTTAGGAACCGTCGAACAGTATGGAGCTGCCTCCTAGTGCTCACTTACCTCGAGGAGAAACACCGCCCTAGCACTGACGCCCTACAGGCCGTAAAGGCGTAGATAAACGATTGGGGACAGTTTGACGAATTCACACAGTGAGGGATGAAATGGTGAGTGAATCAAACGCATCCGCGAGAGCTCACCCAGCCCTGCATACTGAGCGATCGTCATAGACGTCATAGGGTAGACGACAGGCTCAACAAAAACAACAGCAAGGGTAAGTCCACCTCGTCCTGAGTAACCTGAATTTCAAAGCCATGAGTTACCTCCTAAACTCGTACAAGTCGAGCCCTCTAGCCGTGGAGTCCGATGTACCGCCGTTCAGTAGGGAAAAGCAGAACAGTTGTAGGAAATGGAGCAATGCAACAAGTAGCACACACGCCCACAAAGCTACTCCAAGTGCGTGCACGTGCAAACATTTAGGAAGACAGATGAACCCAGCATGAATGACGACGCGAAGGAGAAGTGACGCCAGGGACGCTACTGCTGGTCCACAAATCTCATGATCAACTCGTTGGTAGGTAGCATTGCGACTCCAATGAGCATTCCGCGTGTGACCAGCACCAATACGACCAACCAGAAATGTGCACCTTGAGAGTGTAGCTGTTCCGAAACACATAGATTCCTACAAGAGGGGAATTGCGAGGGGCGGTCCATGGCGCACAAATGGTTGAGCGAAATTTACATGGTGCCCCCTCCGACAAGCAGACAACACACTGTATGCCAATACTATAGGTGTCCCCAGTGATAAAAGCACCGTGTTGAGCTTCGTGGACAAATCACGGTTACAGGAAACGAACGGGAGCGTGAACCGGTGGGAGACAGCCTGTCTCAGACAGGGCGTTTCACGAACGCACGTATAGCTTATAGGATTTTTGAACGCATGCACACCATCATACGAGGACAACCATAAATTCGAGGTGGAGCGGTAGCAAGCCAAACCTTGGAGAAAATACTGCCAGCATTATCCCTTACGACCACCAACCTGTGTACCAGTAATGCACATTTTAGTCAAGGTATGAAGACTCATACTATCAAAGATACTCAGAGGTAGCGGGACGAGTAGCCACAGCAAGACTTACCAAACTCCACCGTCAGCGTGTGCTACGCCACTCATCGTGCTATCCGTGACCTACAAGCTGGCCGTCGTCTACTGGATGTGTGAAGAGATTTGCTCCCAACCTGATCAGAGAGGGCGAACGACAGTTCAGTGGGGCAATGGCTCTCGCCGAGGCTCTGCTTCTTGTGCGTTGAAAAAAGGAGGTGCACCTTCAGCGCAATTATTGGGACGTAGCACTGGGGAATCGATGATGATGATGATGGGAAGACTCGGAAACAGACGAGAGGTGCCCTGTCACACGTGGCATGGGAGTATGAACTGTATTTTCACGCAACTTGCGTGCAGCCCAGCGAGGTGGCGTGACGGCGTGATGCGCGACACGAATAGATTAGCCTCAACACGTGCTCCACGTGGCGCGTGTCCAAGGCGTCACGCTAATATTATACCGCCCATCTCAGAAATGGTAAACGCCTCATAATAATAATAAGTTCAGCGTTACGATGCATCAGAAGCATAAATGTTTGTATTCGCAAGCCTCGAACCCGTCTATCTGAACCTGGGCCGTGACGTTCCCTTCTGTGTTGGTGACTGGCCCTGCCTCCTCACCCGCATAGACTCCTTCTGCTACACGAATAATGGTCTGGTTCGATTATAACGTGAACCTCAACGTCCAATAACTTTACCGTAATCACTGCATTTCCTAGGGCGCTGAATTCCACTTCTCTAAGGCGATCGCCTCTCTCTGCTACTGTCGGGTTCTCGTCGCTCTGATGTGCTCTTCTCATAAGACACAATCCACCACTGTATTATCAATACGCCCCTGTTATACCATCTATCAGTAGTAGCAACAGTAGTAGTAGAACTCGACTGAGCAGGGCTTGTGGGGATCAATCGACCCGAGTGGTCCAGCGGTCAGGCCGCGGAAACTCCCTTGAAAACGAAAACAATACTCAGAATAAGCGTGGCTCAACGAGAACATGACGACGTCAGCCGGACACAATTGCAATGGAAACTTCGATCCCTTGAGAACTCTCGATAGCCGTAGTACTACTACTACTACTACTACTACTACTGCTACTACTACTACTACTACTACTACTACTACTACTACTACTACTACTACTACTACTACTACTACTACTAATATTTCTCCTCTATTACTACCACTACAACGGCGTATTCGAACTTGACATGCTTCCAAACTATGCCAGCTCCAACCGTCGAATTCTTTCCCCTTCACCTTCACAGAAGGCCCCATCCCTGCACCTATAACCGGTAGAGAGTATCGTCAGGGCAACATGGCATTTCCCTGAGGACAATTGCTACATTAGTCTCTACTTAACCCAAGCACTAAAGGACCAAGAGGAATCCCCTATAATAGAATTATGAGGTATCTCCCTTTCCCTACTAAACGAAGTGGATGGTCCCCCATGCTCCACTATAGGAAGAGGTCGCGATCTCGGGCTTCCCCTGAACATAGTAGCTGTATCGGCAGCATTCTGGACAGTAGTGCCATCACTACACAGCTGCTCAATGTCGTGTATGCCGCAACTACCTCTTCCCTGCTCTTGCGATGGTGCTCACCTGCTCCCCGCGATTTAATCTCTCTATCACTTATCGGGCGTTGAAACTCCTCATGAGGTCAGCTAGAACGGCAGCGTTCAGAATAGGAACTGGTCCATCGACTATTAGGACGAACGATGACATTGGATATTTGAAATTTTCGAGGTGAGAAGCCGTCACCTGAGGCTTCGGTTCCTCACTGGCGCGTCTCCCTCTCTCCTGCGGTCGTCGTCCTAAGGCTCACTACAGAAACCAAAGCTTGTAGGCAAACACAAATTCTCTAGTTGATAAAGAGTCGTACAGGCGATAGACTCTCATACTCCAAACACAACCGATTGGCACTTGTGGAAAGCTGACTTGTTTGAACGTATTCAAGCTGGAATAGCATAGGAGTAGCTCGGTTATAGGATATTTCAATTTGTATGTCAGCGTGGA